ACATTATCATTAAATTGATTGCTAATTAAAGTAACATTATTGATTAATATAACAAATACAATTTTCATTCTATCAAAACTGAAGTTTAAATTGTAATAATAAAAGTATATATACTAATACAATATATTATACGTATTATTAGATATAAATAATATATCTTTTGTAATGTTTAAAAAATAATTATGTTACTCAGTAATTGAAACTTAAGATAAGCTATCTTAGATTAGTTGATAATATAAGTAATCCTATCAGTCCCTATATATTAGCAGTTGAAGACTGATATTGTTAAATGTGTATTTATTGAAGGTGAGTACAAATTAAACATATCCTGTATCATGTTATAATAACGTTACAACGCATTATATTTTCAAAATCATTTCATTTGTACTAAATTTTAAAATACTACACGATATTAATGGAAAAAGATATATATGTAATGCTTTAATTCATACAAGCATAATGTAATATCAATATATATATATATATATATATATATATTTTATATAAATTATTTTTATAATTAAATATATTCCGCCCTTATATAACAATGATATTTTACTTTTAACTGACTCATTATCAAAACACTACATGAGTTGACAAATAACAATAAAGAATATCCTAAAAATTGATTGCGTTTATTGAAATATATCAATGATAAATGAAATCAAGTTACAATATATGTCGCTTATGAATGCCTGAATTCTTTTGTCACGAAAATATTTTTTTTATATATATAAACATAAGAAAATTCAATATAATATTCTTTTCGTTCGAGGCTCTATTTTTGGGGGCTCGATTTTAAATATTGATCAGGTACGCAAACTGCATACAAATTGGTTATTATGTCATTTCATTATAAATTGTTTCCATCTGAAACAAATGTGAGCAAATACAAAGACTAATATAGTTGAAATTATACAAAAAGTGTATTGTATACATTTTTGTAATTATTCGTTTATTATTTTACAAATATTGTTGAAAATACTTCCCCCCCTCCACCTATTGCTGCGTATATGTGTACATAACTCTGCTCGATAATTTAAAGATGCTGAACGAAATGTAATGTGTTATCACTTTTTGATTTATGAAACTTTTGAAGAATTTATTGCTTGAAGTGTACAATATTTTGGACACCCTTTTTGTATTCTTGTTCTGTAATATGTCCTCAATATTTATAGAATGTGAAATCTGGCCACATCGGAAGTTAATTATGAATGTGTATCGACATAGGAAATAACGCAATATCTTAATCCTGGTATTTTTCACATTTTTTATTATTATAAGATTTTGGTTTAATAAAATCGAATGAAGAATATCTGGTTTATAAAAAAGCGCTATTACCACTTTATGAAACACCCATTACTAAAAAATTTAATGATACTTGCATTTCTCGTTTAAAACTTTTCCTGTATATTTTTATTTGTATGAATCTAATTGAATAGATAAATAAAAAACAAATTATTCAAATGTTTAGGTAATATAATTTATAACATTTATATAAATAAAATATAAATTTTAATTTTTAGCTTTATTTGTAAAATATAAAATATAAATATATTATGAAAATATCATAATACTGAAATAACTATTGCTATTAAATTAATCATCTTTTTAACAAAGAAATTTCAATCTTTATAATTAAAAATTTATTTCACTTTTAGTTTCTTTATTTAAAAAATTACATCGATATGCCTAATAATAATATGTTTATTATAATTGTAAATACGGAATGTCACAATAAAAATCGAAATTTTAATTGATTTATTGACATGATTTATTAACTATAACTATAATGAAATTATAATGACTCATGAACAATAAGATCTATGGCGACTAAAGATTTTGAATTTGTTAACACTTTAAAAAATTTTTAATTTCAAATCATTTTTAAAATGATTCTAATTTTTGCAGCTCTGAAAAATTTGAAATTACTTTCAAATTGAGATTCAAATGTCCATCACTAGTAGTAACAATTTCCTTTGATCGGCGGGTTGCGCATGCGTAGTGAAAGCTCGCTGCGTCATAGTTCTGAATAACCTCCTTGCTCGCATACGCTCCAGCAACAACGTTGGAGGTCGACGTTACAGATTGTATTTATAAAAAAAAAGAAGAAAAATAAGATGTTTAATACAAATAAGTTATTTTGAGTGCGCGTAAATTTATTAATTAACAAACGGGATAATTGGATAATAAATAAGGTGCAAAAATAAAGTGCGTGTGCATTAGACTTCACAGTTATTCTGATATCGGTATGTTATGTCCGTAATGCGTTTTTGTTTTACTAATCATAAGGACGTAATACTTTTTAACGAAGACATAATTAGAAATGTTATTAATTTACAACTAAAATAAGATACTAAAATGATTTTAAGATTCGAAATTATTAAAAATTTACAAGTTTATAAAATTTTCATAAATTATGCAAAAATTGCTTTCAATTTATTAATTCAAATATCAGTTGACATCTGAGTAATATAAACGTAGAATAATTTATATAATGAACATAATTCTTGAAGATAAAATTTTCATTTTTGTTTCAAGGAAATGATGAGTTATGTTTGCTTGAGTCTATCTCTCTTGCATACCAACTTCCGTTGTATTCTCCCTTTCTTACTCTTGATTACGCTGTTGCCAAACGTCACAAAATGAAACAGATGTGAAAGTTCAGACTAACTTTAAGATTTTATTCTGCGATTAAGTAAACGAAAATATTATTTTCTTCTTATTTTTCTTTTTTATAAAGTATTTTTCGTAACTTATAAGTAAAATATAGAAATTACTAAATCAGATAATTTTTTTAAATGTTAATAATATTAATCTTTTTTCAAATTTTGTTGATAAAGATGTTAATATAAAATATGTATCTTATTCAGAAAATATAAATTCAATAGTTCCAAAGTATTCCAAGATGAGTAATTAAAGTCACGTTCATATAAATAAAAATGTTAGGAAAATATAGGTTTCAGAAAGAAGAAAAGGATCTACTATAGATTTCCACTACACAGTTTAATAAACCGGTTTATTGCCCTGTATAAACTAAAGTTTTTTAATAGTGAGAATATATTACTAGAAGATTAAATTTGGAATTTTATAAACTTACATATTGAAGAGTCTTAATTTTTCTATTTTTAATTGGAATTTAATAAATAATTTTTGATAGTATACATTTATTATATAATTTTAATTTTATATAAAAATTGTAAACTGAAAGGTTAAATTAGTTAGATATTTATAACTTTATGGTAAATTTATGAAATTATAAAATAAACTTATGGTATGAAAAATTGTAAAATGTGAGCTACTACGCCCTTGTCGATACATTTCATTCTCATGAGTATACAGTGGTGTAATGCAACAAGAGGACTTAAAATACGGATCGTACAAGCGGCAACGTTGCACAGGGCGGTGAACATCATGAGTTTGTGTAAACTCTAAGGAAAGAGAGAGGGAGGGAGGGAGTCAGAGAGTGAGAGAGAGAAAAAGAAATTCTTCTCGGAAGTTTTCGTTCGTGTGCGATACGTAGGCTGCGTCATTTCAACGTTATGTATTGTGAAAAGTCCACAATACTCTGTCATTCACGAATCATAACGACATTGCAATCATCTAGCGCATTTAGAACTCTACCCCTTCTCTTTCCTTTTTTATCAGATGCGGGTGGTATGCAACATACACAATGTTTCATAAATGTATAACACGATTGTGTGCCTTATACATATTTCTTTATTATATATGCATATTCCATATGTTTCATAGTTCCATCATGTGTAATTGAGATATTTACTACTTTTTGTTTATAAAAATTAACAAATTATACAAGTATTGTAGATAAAATGAAACTATAATGGAAATACTTATAATGGAAAAAATAATTACAAATTAACGATATTTTAATAAAATTAGCTCAATTACAATTGTTTAATATCTTATTTAACAATTGTAATTTTCTTTAATAGATTTGAAGATACCTTTAATAATAACTCAAATAAAATGACTGGTATTATCAAGCATAGAGAGTTGGGAAATGATACAAACTTCAAAACTTCAACAAATACACATTTACCATCACCAGTTCCTATAACATCTCATATATTGAGTGATGAAGTAGATAATATTGATTATCATTTTGAAGCAGCAAGACTGCATAGTTTTGAAAATTGGCCTGTATCATACATTGAACCGGAAAAACTTGCAGCTGCTGGATTTTATTACACAGGTGAAGGTGATAAAGTAAGATGTTTTGAATGTCAAGTGGAGATATGTCAATGGGTGGAAGGTGATATTCCTATGGTTGATCATCAACGTTGGGCAGCAAGGTGTAGATTTATTCGTAAAATGAATTGTGGTAATGTACCAATTGGAGTAGATCCCAATACAGTTATACCACCAAGATCAAGAAGCAGAGATGTATGTGGTCCTTATGATTTAGAATATCGACCTACATCTGGTCCTGATAACCATAATTTTTCAAGGGAATTACAACTACCTAGTACTGCTAAACTTAGCTGTTTAGGCTTGGGAAGACCTAAGGGGCCAGTACATCCTGAATATGCAAGTTATGATGCTAGACTACATACATTTGTAACATGGCCAAAATCTATGCCACAAACAAAGGAACAATTAGCAGATGCAGGCTTTTATTATACTGGAACTGGTGATCAAACTTTATGTTATCATTGTGGAGGTGGCTTAAAGGATTGGGAACCTGAAGATGATCCTTGGGAGCAACATGCAAAGTGGTTTTCTAAGTGCTATTACCTATTAATGGTTCAAGGACAAGATTATGTAAATAAGATAACAGGTCAGCATATATCTCCACCTTCTAAAGAGGTAAGCATATAATTATATTTATACCTCATTATACATACTTTATTATTATATATTTGTATACATTATATTTATTTTAGGAAACAATGCAAATGAATTTACCCAGTTTTATTAAGAAAGTACAACCTGCAAATACAGAAACAGAGAAAAAGAAAGAAACAGAAAGCAATCCTGGGTCAAGTTCTCAAGATAATAGTATAGAAAGCATTGTCAGCAATGCAGAATCTATAAAAGGAAATTCAGAAGATCTATCAAATATAAAAACACAAACTAATAATAAACCTACGGATGATGCAAGAATGTGTAAAATTTGTTATAATGGAGAATTAGGAGTGGTATTTTTACCATGTGGACATATGGTTGCTTGTGTAAAATGTGCTCCTGGAATGACATCTTGTGCAGTATGCAGAGAACCTGTTACAATGACCGTACGAGCCTTCTTCTCATAGTATTCCATAACTTGTGATAGACAATGAATACAGTTCACATATGATTTCTGTTATGGTGTTTTACACTCAATCATCCACGACTGGTAGCGATAGTATATCGCAAACTGCATTAAATGACATGACTCATGTAGCATACCAGTCTGCGGGTACAAGCTATAAGAATTCTGTTGCATGTTTTTGAAGCCTTAAGTGATGATATTCATGTTATATATATATGGAAAATAAAAGTAAGATTTACTGTAATACAGTTGGCAGTAATTAATGTTTTATAATTGTAACAAAGTCAAAGAATTTCATATTTTAAAATTTGTCTTGGAATAATCAGTATTAAAATGAACAATATAAATACATTTAAGAATTTTGTATAAATTACATAACATATCAGGAATATAAAAATCATAAGAATTTGCTCATACTACTTTTATACAAAGCTTTTAGATTAATTTTATTTCAAACTCAATGTAAGCTGTACCTGCAACTGAACGTTGCTATTTGCACATTCATAAATTTATGTTGTCTGTATCATTGGACTAATCAGAAAGGCAACAGAGTAAATAAATAAGCTTGACACATAGTACAAATAGCAACAAAACATGAAGTCTAGTCATTAATATTACATGACGACGAACAATGAGTAAAAATTTACAACTCTACAGTGGCAGCAATATACATATCTACAGTTAACAAAGTCGAGTTTCATTTTTCATGTATTTATACATTAAACTGTTATACGAAAATTACTTGCATTTTTTATATATTTTTAATATGGTTGATGATTTTAGTAAATCTTGAAATTGTGTGAACCATATTATATTAATAATATTATTTAAAGTACCTAGACAATACCTGACATTTTAGATCATTATTCGCTCGGTAAGTCAATTTTTTTACTATATAGGTTATACTCTTTGGCAATTGGAAATTATATATTTTCTATGTTTATAAATATTTTTACTTTTGAATAAATAAATAATTTTATTTATTTAATATTTTAAATAAATAAGTAAATAGTTTTGTCATTTTATCAAGCTTACTAGAAATTTATAAAAAGTACAAGTAATTTTTGTATAACAATTTAATATATAAGTACTTGACAAATTAAATTGTACTTCATTATCTGTATATAAGTAGCTATCACTGTAAGTTATAAAAACCTAATAAAAGAAAATATTCATTTTATAATTTTATTATAGTGCTAATAAAATTAATGTCTATTTTGTTACCCTAGTTTAGTTATGTCCAATATTATTAAGTTGTGATTTTCATTGATGTAATTTGTTATAAAATAATGTGTAATTTATATGGGTTATATCTCTTATAGTATAAGTGCAGCGAAAATCGAATGTATCTAAACTATAAGCTATATGCACATATATAATTATTTGACTTAACTAATCTAGGGTATATTATCAATATATTCCACCTAGTGAAAATTTTTAGTTCCCCTATGATTTCAAAAATGTATTCATATTAAAGAAACATAGTGTGTATATTTTGTGCACAATAATTGAAAACAAGAAAGAATTGTACATCTTAATACATGAAAAAAAGAAAAAGGTAGGACCAGTAGCCATTCATATACAGTTAATAAATAATGCTAGAACTTTTCTAGCCACCTGTTTTTGGCTATGATTAGTGTTATTGTACATTATTTCAATGGAAGAATGGAATTCATCAATGATTTATTTACTTTAAATTTTAATTATACAATTCACTTCATTTTAAATTTATAAATATACATTCATAATCATCAAACTATATTTTCAAATTAAAATATTTCAAATTAGACATATAATTCTATTTCTAAACGATTTAAATTCAAAATTCAAATGATTAATTAAAATATTTACTTTTGCACTAGATTTCACAATTATTAATGTTATTTTATATTACTGGCTAAATCTTTACATCTATATGTAAGAAAATTCATTCTTATCATGTATTATGACTGAGAAATATTTAACATGTATCATATGCAACTATAACAAGTATTTGATGTAAGGTTGACGGGTTTAGAAATTAGTTAAGTAGAATATAGCATATTACAATTTTGTCTTTTTGCAATTAATGTTTATAAATGATTGAAATATTATGTTAAATTTGTCTGTTGAAACATCAGTCTGTCAAAAATAATTAGAAGTGCAAAGTACAGAAACATAAATATATTACCCATGTATACAATGGATTTTTCTCTATAACTGTTGCACTTATTTCCACTGAGATTTCCACTTTATACGTTAAATGAAATAAACAATTTATGTAAACATAGAAAAATACAACAAAAATTAGATCGTATATAAAATGATTTTGTTATTTAAAATTATAATTACGAATAACAAGTACAAATAGATTTATTAATATTTCAAAAATTTTTTATTACGACTATTTATTCAAATAAATTTTTATTGCATATGCTATCAAATATTAAATAAGTAATATATTTATTCGTTCATTTCATGAAAATCATTATTCATGTAAAATTTTTAAATTTTATGTAATCTATTATATTTTGAAATAATTTACTCAACTTTGACAGTTTTCTATTTATTATAACCTTTTATGTATTTTTAATATTGTTAGTATATAGATTTTGTTTAAGTTCTTCATTTGTTCCTTCCACACATTATTATATAACGTTTATATGTGCTAAAAATTTTTTCACTTTTTAATTCGTTGAAAATTTGAAATAGATTTTTCTCTATCTTTGTTATTTTTAAATGACCTTTGAAATTATTTTTCATTCCAATATTTTTGTATTAAATTTGTATTAAAGCACATAATATTATATAATTTTTTCAAATTTATGAAATATGGAAAATGGAACGATTATTTAATTTTTAATATGGTTTTTGTTTTATTGTTATAAAATACCGTAGATTGATGTTTTCTGAAAACTTTAGTTGGAGAGATGTCGCTAATTTCAAATACTAAAATGGCGGATATTGATTCAATACTACAGAACGACGTGATAGAATGTGATGGTCATTAATATTGTAAATCAATAAAGATTTTAACATTTGTGTTCTCTTTAATTTATTAAAATGGATTAGTATCAGCAATGGGAGACTTGTTTGATATTGCAAATCTAATTACAACTGTTGGTGTTGATAGAATAAAAATTAAGCCGGAACCTGGACTACCAGAAAAATCTTCAAATGAGATATTAACAGAGTTATTCAGTACATTTGACGCTGAAGAAGAAATAGTATCGTCAGAAAATACTGACCAACAAGTTCCAAATGCAAGCATTAAAGTTGAAAAATCCATTAAGTCACAGGTTAAGAAAAAAAAGACTAAAAAGAAACATAAACATAAGGACAAAAAGCATAAAAAAAAGTCAAAACGAAATTCTTCCGAAAGTAACAGCGATCTTGAAAGTAATAAGATATTGTCAACAGTTAAAAAAATAGGTAAGTGTATATATTATATAAAATTAAACTTTGTGTTTTTATAAAAAATAGATATTAAAAAGAAAAAAAAGCATAAAAAGAAAATAAAGCGAAGACATGAAGATGATTCAAGTAAGTCATCAGATTCAGATGAACCAAAAAGTAAAATATCGAAACTTGGTAGTACATGCAACAACATGAAAAAAAAAGGTCAGAATAAAGATAATATATCAGAAAAAAAAAACATGCAAGAGTCAGAAAATTTTGAAAAATCACTGGTTAAAAACAATCCAGAGTTGGAAAATATGTTTACAAAGGAGCCTGATAGTCCTCAACTACCACCTATTGCAAAGAAAATTCAAGATGAACCTGAAGAACAATTAATATCTAAAGTTCTTGGTTAGTATGTATTGCTTATGTTATAAATTTCAAAAATATTGTTAGTTTAAATATGCTTTTTTTTTCTTTACATCATATTTTTTATGAAAAATCTTTATCTGACTTAATAATATCTACTCTATTATTATAAAGTGTCTTTTTTATGTACAGAAAAACCAAAGTCAGGACATCAAGGAAAAATATTAATAAAAGATCTTAAAAATAGTATAGTTTATAGTGATACAGTTAGGGAAATAGAAAATAAGGAAAAGGAAAAAGCAGCTCGAATGGAAGATGGTGAATTATCTGATAGTAGTACAGATAATAGAACTCCAACATTAAGTCCTAGTCCAATCCGATGTACCTCCTTTAGATCATCAACTTTAAGTCCAAATTTAGAAAAGGTAGAAAATAGAGTATTGAGTCCTTTAAAAGGAGAAATAACAGCAAGAAATGATTTAAGATTAATTTTAAGAGAAAAAGAAAAAAAAAGATTGGGAGATGTAGATAAAAGGTTAGAAGGAATAGAAAAATCAAAATTGTATATGGATAATGAATATAAAGAAAAGACATATAATTATAATAATAAAATTACAACAAGCAAAGATAGTAAACATAGTCATAATTGTCATTCTCAAGAAAGAAGAAGATCTGAATCGCGAACACGTATGGCTGTCCGTAGGAGTAAAAGCAGAGAAAGAGATAAACGAAGAGATAAAAGTAGAGACAGGTACAACAAAAGTCGAAGTAGTGATAGGCGAGAGTCTTTAAAATGTAGAGAACGCCGGAGACACAGAAGTCGTAGTGACGATAGGAGTAGGGATAAGTATGCACGAGGACGAAGTAGAAGTAGAGAACGAAAGTTAGTATTAATTTGTATTTTCACAATATATAATTACAAATATAGTTCTTCAGTAAATAATAAATTTTTGTGTCTTATAAGGGAACGAATAGAAATTGATAAAAAAAAATTGTTGGAAATAGCAAGAAGGAATGCAATAAATATGATTAAGCAAGGAACATTGCCATTGGTACAACAAGATAAGGCTATTGCTGCAATACAAGCTGGAGGGAAAACAGTAGATGAACTCACAGGTATTTTCTTTAACTAGTAGCATAATACTATTATTTTTTGATGATAAGTAATGTTTTTTTTTTTACTTCAGATTTTTGTAAATCATTATCAAAATCTGAAGCATTAGGAGAACTTTCTAGTATTTCTTCAGAAGAAGATGGAAGCGAATCTGAAAAAGGTTTTCATCATCCATTTCTACTTAAAGGGCGACCTAGTTCTATTATTATGAACATTAAGGTAAATCTAATATAATTGCCAATATATTATTAATAAATAATTATTTATAAGATATTATTAATATTAGGATGCAAAGCAATTGCCAACCAAAACATTCCAGGAAAAAACAGTAGAATCATCAAATCAGTTACGTTTACAATTTCCAGTATCAAGCGGACAACATCATAGAAAAAGTGGTAATTTCTTTTTTATTATATTCAATATATTTATTTATTTATTTACTGATTTCATTCTCTAAAGCTTCTTACTTGTTACAGAAAATGAATGGATACCAGTAGTTACCCCCAAAAAACCAGAAACAAAAAAGCAATTTATACCAGCTTCTGTTCCAGCTGAACCTTTTACAGTAATACCTTCAACTACATCTACATATCCAGTACAATCGGCTGTTTTTTCTCAACCAATAGCAACAGAGGTGTGAGAATAATGAAACTATTCAGTTGTTTTATATTTACATTTATATGTATTTTACATTTACAGCCAATAGATATTGGTTCTATAGTATCTCAAAGATTAGCGGCAATGAGAAAGTTACGAGAAAATCCAAATGATATATGTGCTCAAAATGAAATGTATCGAGCACAGAATGAGGTATTATTATATATAATGTAAAAAATATTTTAATATTGTCATGTATTTATAATTCACATATATATTATGTAATAGATGAAAACTTGGGCTGAAAGCAAACAAATGCCAGGTCAATTTACTGGCAGTACAGGAGCTAAAGTACTCTCACCTGCAGAGCTTACTTCAGGTTATCAAGCCTGGGCTCGTAAGGTAACAATATTACAAAATAATTGTTGTATTATTTATTATATATTTATTTCATCATGGAAATCTGTTCTAAGCAACTATGATAGAAATATTCAATTTAATTAAATAATTGGCAATTAGGACTGATGAAATTATGAACATGAGATATTAATGTATGTATTGACACAGTCGTGTTATATATACATAATTTCATTCATATTTTTCATTTTTCTTTACAAAAAAAAAGAAAAAAAAAAAAAAAATGAAATGAAAAGAAAACAATGCATTACCTGATACTGATATTGCCTGTAACAAGTTTTCAGGTACAGTCTCTATCAAGATTGATGCTATATTTTAATATATAGCAGATCTGATAAGAACTGTAATGTAGGCACAGACTATTTCTTAAATCGAAGTAGATTCTGTGCCTGCATGGACACAGGAGCACCATTATTTTATACATTTTTGTGTTGCATGATCACAGTACATAGTTAATAATTATACTTCATATTTAATAATTAAGAATAACATATTTAAAGCGAAAATACGTAAATATAAACATTAATTACACAAAATTCATTTATATAATGGGCTCTTGTGAGATTATTGCTAATTATCATCAGCTTCCTATCACAGGATTTCATCTGGAGTTACTGTATTTTTTGTTTATAAAGCTGGGATATTTAGCATTAGTCTGCATCCACCTGAGGGTTTGTTACAGGCACATAACTACGTCAGAGAAGAAACAACTTCAGCGGCGTGATGTCGAATTTATGATTTTTTTGGTAAGTATTTTCACCCCAAAAATATTAGAACTTTATAAAATCGATTAATATGTTAAGATTTGACAATTGGATATAGAATTATTAAATTATTCTATTGATTTTAATCATGTTTCTCTCATCCTTAATCTTTAGTTTTATGAATGCTATGAAATTCATTATATCTTAATCTAATAAACTATTTAGGATCAGTTAGTATCAGCACAGCCTGTATCGGGTGGGATGGGTATGGCTTTACTGCAGAAGATGGGTTGGCGACCAGGGGAGGGTTTGGGAAAAAATAAAGAAGGTACTCTTGAGCCATTGCAGCTTGAAGTAAAATTGGACAAACGAGGCCTTGTGTCAGAACAAGATATTGGAC